TCCCCAGTGTGGGACGTGCAGGAGGCAGCCAATCAATGATTCTCTTGTTGATGTTTCTATCTCTCTCTCCCTCTCCCTCTCCCTTTCCCTTCCTCTCTGAAATCAATAAAAATATATTTTAAAAATAAAAAGAAAAAGAAAAAGCAAAATCATGACTTTCGTGCAGGTATAAAATGAACATAAGTTGAAGATTTCATTTTGCTTACAATGAAGGAACTAGGCAGATGTCATGGTTAGTTCAAAGGAGAAGTCAAGGAAGCACAAATCACATGGAGTAAAGGAATGTTACAGCGAATGCTTGGATGGGGGCAAAACTGTTTTTTCCACGAGTGGGTAAGGATATCTCTCCATCTGACAGAATCAATTTGCATGTAAATTGATAGGAATTATTCTGCATTGTTATCAGTTATGGGTAATTTGTAGAATTATAAAATAGCTCATAGAAAAAGGATCAGTAATGATGCAGGCTCTGCTACTGTACAATTTTCCATTGATTGAAGCAATTTTCTGTATAAGATTGAAATGATAAATGCAAGGATCTAACAGAGTATAAAATACTGGGGTCCCAAAGATATATAAAAAAGGACATTCAAGTATATGTACGTATGTACATGCATATGTTCACATACACATTGACTGTTCCTCAGTGGAGATAGAAGAAATTGGTAGCTGTGGCTGACACTGGGGAGAGGAATCTGAGACAAAGGGGGGACCTATTTTTCACTGTATACCTTTATATACTGCTTGATTTTTTCTTTGCTTTTGCCAAGGGCATATATCATTTTTCAAAGAAAAAAGGCAATCTTTCATAAACCTTAGTGTGACAAATGGTAAATAATGAAATATGTAAATCAAGCATTGCAGAAAATACAAGGAGAAATAGATGGAAATGTAGTAGTCATGGCAAACCTCTTTCTGGTTTTGACGTTTGAGCAGACAAAAAGTAGGACTATGAAAAGCAGTTTTCAACAGTCTGCATATTAAAAGCTATTTGGGAGCTCCTTTAGAAAACCATATTTATTCAAACACATGCAAAATAGACTAGTCTGATGAACTCACATGACCCACCATCCAACTTCAACACTCAACAATTCATGACCAACAAATTCCCCACCCACTTTCCCCCTTTTCATATTGAAGCAAATTCCAGAAGTCATATCATTTAATCTATAAATATTTCATCTGGTGAATAGCTCTAAAAAATAAGAACTGTCTTTAAAGACCATAACCACAATACCATAATCATTTTTAAAGTAAATTCATTAGTACAATAAAATAAAGTTCATTAGTACAATATCATTGTCACACCTAAAATGACAGTAATTCCTTAACTTCATCAAAGATTCAGTATTAAAATCTTCAACTGTCTCATAAATGTCATTTTAAAAAATTGCTTTGTTTGAATTAGAATCAGAATAAGGACCACACACTCTGATTATCTCAAGTCTGTTATAATCTATTACCTGGGGATCTTCTAGAAAATACTGTTGTCTAGGCTTCTTCTTGACAATGTTGAATTTTATCTGAGCCCTGTGTTCCTGGAAAACAGTGACAGTTAAGAAACACACACACACACACACACACACACACACACACAGCCTTGTCTGTGTTCTGGAAAAGACAGTGCAAAGAATCATCGTTTTCCATATGACTTAGGTGTAGGCCCCCTCATTTACCTATGACAAGGCCAGACACAGACCCTTGAAGTTCTCATTCTTGGCTTCATAAATAATTAGCTGAACTGCTTGTTCCATTGAGCAATCAGGACAAAATGCTGGTTAACCAAACTTTGGTTAAGATCCTCTCCTTCTGCCAGGTCCCTGAGTTTGGTCCCACTCTCAGCAAGAGCCAGTACACAGCTAACTCCTTAACCTCTCCTGAGAAAAGGCTGACCTCAGAGTTAAACATTCTCTGACCTGCTATCCCACCAGATCACTCTTGTTTTTTCTAGTCTTGTTTACTCCTCTCTACTGTAAATGAAAAATTCTTTTTGCCTAACACTGGAGATGGTATGTATGGTCAGAGCTTCTCCCTATGTAGTAGACCTCCTCCACCTATTGGAAGGTCCGCGCCCCCCCCCACCCTTGCAGTAATCCTTTCCAAATAAAGTCTCTCATTAAATCTGGATTTAAAAAATGTGACAATCCCAAGAAATTTTGATGTTATTTTTCTCTAGTTTATGATAATATGAAATGAGATTTGAGAACCGCTGCTTAGAGGATGTGAACAGTATAATTGCTAGGATAATCTAATACATGCATGTCTGTGTTAGTCTGTGTTCCTCCAGAAAGCAAGTTCTGAGGCGAGTCTTGGTGGAAATGGTTTATTTAGGAGGTAGTCTCAGGAAGCACAAGAAAAAGCAGGGACAGGGAGACAGGAAGGAGGACAGCCACACCCAGGAGGCATACAGGAGTGGGCTTTCTGCTGTGGATAACGAGCTCAGGTTCTCTGGGGAACATGTACAGTTGCCCTTTAGATTTGATCTCTCAAGGTGACCGTCCTGTGAATCTAAGTTGGGTATCTTTTTTCAGCCACACAGTTGCTCACTGAATGTATAAAGTGGCCATGACATTAGGAGTTTATGCCAGGCATAGACTTTTTGCACTAAGATTGTTCTGGCTATTGCTACTGTTTACTGTACAATATGCCAACAGCAAAGGCCAATGCTTAGCCCCTCATATGACATCATTCCCTTGAGGGAAAAGCCAGACACCTGGTGGTAAGTCAGTTCTATTGGAGCCCTTAATGTCAGGCAGGTAGAAGCACAGAGTGACTTTGTGAGCGTGAGGTATGGGTTGGAGGATGAGAATGAAGGGTGGACTAAGCTGATCCTGTGTTTTCTGCCTCGCCCTGTCCCTTCTATGATTGCCTGGGGCTTGTCCCCTGCAAGCTTCATTTTCCAGACCCCCATGTCAGCTGGCCTCTGGCAGGTTCAGCCAATGGGAGGCACTCCTGGGGGATTGGAGAAAAAGAAAGGAAGCCAGAGAACTTCCTTCTCCTTGCTTCCTCTCTGCCTCATTTCTGGCAGGGGCCGTGTTTCCTCCATAGTCTAGTTATGGCACATACAAAGTTGGTGTATGTGAGTTTGTATGTGTGCTAAGCCTTTGAACATGTCTCAGATATAGCTACTTTTGCGATATCTGCCAAGAAAAGGAGAATTGGAAGACACTGTTAATGATGCAGTCTATCAAAGGTGGTTTTCTCTAAGTGGTGACATTATTGAGAACTTTCTGTTATCTGGTTATTTTTTAAAAGAAAAGGATGCTCCCTCTCACCTCCATTAGTGCTCTTTGATGATCAGTGCAAATTGTCACCTGGTATTTATTTTCACGGGTCTCTAATTGCAGCTAATCAAGCATTTACCTTTGCATTTATAAGCTCTTACTGCAGATACATTTTTAGCCATCCTTAGTAAAGAAACATAATTGCAGTAGAAACCATAGAAATGAACATAAGCAAAAGTAAGAGATGAGGATCATCACTTATTACTTAAGCATACTTCCTTCTTCTAAGCCACATAGAGATCAGGAAGAGAAAACAGCATCTTAAATAGAATTTATGAAGCAGGGAAGCTGGTGGCAGGGAGCCCAAATAAAAACATCATGGCATTTGCATGTAAAGAAGCCATAGCCAGTATACTAATTTTATTCAACAAATAGAATTATGTATTATTTAATTTGTAACTCTCAAAGACCAAATTTTTTTTTCTAAAATGTTCTTATTTCTATTTTAAAGATAAAAGAGTTACCTTGTCTAGATCAGTCTGACCTGTTTTTGCTATTCAGAATAGTATTGGGAGAACATAAAATAATTTTCAGACTTAATTGTAATCTTGGTGACCATCAAGTGCAGCCCTCTTATTCAACAGGAAATTGAGACCAAGTGCTTTGTTAGATGAGTTAGTGGCAGACCTAGAACCACAAACCATCCTCTTGACTCTATCTTCTCTGTTTCCTATAAATATTAGTGGTTCTCAAATGAACAGTGGTTTTTCTTCAAGCCACATGTATCCCTTCTCAGCAACCCTGCTTTATGATTCTTTTATGCCTCTTCCCAGATTGAGAATTTTCCGCTTCTTAAATAAAAATTTGAAATCCCAAATGTACTGTGATTGTGGTCTCTGACTCAAAAGACTAAACTGCCCTCTCTCTCTCTTTTATGAAATAAAACTTTAAAAAATTGATTTTAGAGGGAGAGATAGAAATGTTGATCAGTGAGCTGCCTCCTGCATGCTCCCTACTGGGGATCCCAAACCCAGGCATGTGCCCTGACCGGGAATTGAACTGGCAACCTCTCTGTGCATGGGAGGACACTCAGCCAACTAAGCCAGACCTGCCAGGGCAATGTTTTCAAAGTTGAGGTCAAGCCCGCTAGTGGGGCGCAGTGGTTGAGGGTTGACCTAGGAACCAGGAGGTCACAGTTTGATTCCCGGTCAGGGCACATGCCTGAGTTGTGGGCTCCATCCCCAGTAGAGGGTGTGCAGGAGGCAGCCAATCAATGATTCTTTCTCTTCGATGTTTTTTTTTCTCTCTCTCTCTCTCCCTCTTCCTCTCTGAAATCAATAAAAAATATATTTTTTTAAAACTTAAAAAAATTGAGGTCAAGAAAAAAAATACTCGAACTTCTACTTGTATTATATTTTTTATTTTTTCCCAGTTTTTATCTTAAAATTATACATTATTAAAGTCAGATAGCTCTATAGGACTTCCTGGAAAACACCAGCCCCCTCTTCTTCATTTCCCCCTCCCCAGAGGCTACCACTTCCACTTATTTTCTCAGGCTTTTATGATTTATTTTATTCCATATCTCTAAATGACATGATTATATTTCTATATCTTCTTTTTCAGAGTTAGTAATCATCTGTTGACTTCCTACTGCACGAGATGAGGATTTAGCGGTATATTATAAAGCATGCAATTATAAAGAACAGCCAGGTGGAAAAGATGCATAGGACAAGGTATGGGGGAAGGGGTGTGGAGCTCCCATGCCCTGTCCAGGTACACTACCTTCCTAGCACCTCCGGTTGGTGACAACCTGGACGCTTTCTGAACTCTGTCCTTTGGCTTTTTGTGGAGGCTTCATTATGGAGTCGTGATTGATTAAATCTTTGGCCTTTAGTGATGACTCCAGAGGTCAGAGGGTGGGGCTGAAAGTCCCAACCCTCTAATCACGTGGTTGGTACTCCCTGTCAACCATCCCCCACCCTGAGACTATCTTCTAGGGACTTTCCAAAAATCACCCCATTAACATAAACTCAGGTGTGATTGGAAGAGGCTGGTTATAAACGGAAAAACCTACCCAAGTCAGAAACTGCAACGCCCCCATTGCAGTTGGTTGTAATGTGGACAGTAAAATCAGAAATGAAGCTTAACCTCAGCAGATGGCAGTAGTCACGAAGCAAATATTTGTGGGGTTTTGTTCTTTGTTTGTTTTTCAGTACTTTAGCTTTAGGTGTTGAACACAGCCTTAAGGCTTAAACACACAGGGTCTGGAAACCGCAGCCTGGATGGACCTTTCAGTCCTCAGCCAGCATCACATAGGTTGCAGGTGACCACCTTTAGCAGGGATGGACCACGCACACTTCTCCCGGTACAGTCCTTTTACCCAGAAACTGCAGTGCTAACTCGTGTTCGTGAGCACAGGGGAGCCTCATTATCAAAGTACTTACTATAGGAATCCCCAAAATGAAGGTCACCCCAACCTGAAATGCTTAGTAACAAATTCTTATAAAGCTAGTCCCCCCTTCACACCTCCCTCTGGCTTAACACTGGCACCCATCTCCCCCCAACAATAATGTCAGATGTTTCACTGTGATTACGATGCCAACCAGTTGCAAAGTGAATTTGCCAATCTTGCAAAAGATGTGGGATTTTACTAAGGTAATGAAAGTGATGGTGGAGGACTGATTCAATAATTATTAGGAAATCTCTAAGAAATGAAGGTTTGGCAGAGTTTGGTCACAACTGAGAGAAAGAGAATCAGCATAGATGATGACACACTGGAGGCTTCAGAAAGGGATGATCAGAAATTCAAAACATTAGAAGGCCCTGGGGAAAGGAGATAAAGCCTTTGACTATTTTGCAAAATTTTCTTTCTTTACAACCTTTCTGTGAAGGTCAAATGAGAAGTGACAGGTGTCATATTTTGCTATCTTACAAATTTTTTTTTCCAGAAAAAAGCATTCCCCAAACATGTCTTGATTCACTGTTATGATCTAAAAATGAGTTCACAGTTGCAGTTATAATAAAAATGTGGTTAAATATAAAAGAAATTCACTATCATAATTTTTAATTCTTTTAAAGATAAAGCCCCAATTCACACTCCTCTTAATTCCCACTATTTACTATAAGCTCTTGCTTCCCATTTAAATAGATTCACTTAAAGTGACCTTTTCCCAGGACCAATTATCAAAAAGCTTTTTTATAAAGAACTCCTTAATTGTACTCTAGAAGAGCATATAGGGCCCACTAGGCATGAAAGCATTTTGAACGTGCTGTGTTTTTCGTTAGCAGCGATTGCAACCCTGGCTCCAGATCATTGGCCCAGCTCCTTCCCACAAGGGGAGTGAGGTATCCTCATGAGAGCTGCATCTGCTTGTGCCAGACTTGAATCATGGAAAGGCTGGGCTGGCTCACAGAAACTGCTCTCTGGGCTTTGTGAGAAATCCAGCTGCTGATGTCACTGGCTGTTCTTCCTCTCAGCACTGCAGCCACATTTCTTAAAAAGCAATACATGTAAATAAAAGATGTATAAAGTGAACCAACTCTTAGGAAAGTGGGGAAGTTCATAGTAATCACAGTGAAACTCCCTCGTTTATGGGAGGAGATTGTTAAAGCAAATAATTTTTCTTTCTTGGGAAGGGGATTATGAAAATCCTTCCCTCCCCATCCCTATATAGACATTTAATGTATTTATTTTATAAATTGGGTGGCAAAGGTGGAAGCAGAAGATCAGCTAGGAGACCATTGCAATAACTGAGGTGGGAATGGGTGGTCACTTACACCTAGGTGGAAGCAAAGGAAATGTTAAGACTGGTTGTCTTTGAAGGTAGACCCAACATTTACCTTGATGCATTGGATATGTGATATGAAAGAAAGAGGAGTAAGGGATGATTCTCCCAGGATGGAGTCCCAGGGCACAAACATGTTAAGGTCTTGGGGAGAATAGGAGGACACAGAAATGAAGACTGAGTAGGAGCTGCCAGAGAGGTGGGAAGGGAACTAGAAGAGTATGGTGTGTATATGAAAAAATAAGGTGTATGTGAAAGGAGAGAATGATCAACTGTGTCTTCTGCAGCTAAGTTATCAAAGATGTGGGCTGGGAAATAGTCATTGGGTTTAATAACTTGGACTTCACTGGTGACTTAACTTGAGAAGTTTTGTTATAGGGATGGAGGCAAAAGCCTCATTTGAATGGGTTCAGAGAAAACAGGAGGAAAGGAATGGGAGAAAGTAAGAATAGACACCTCTTTTGCTGCAAAGGGAAGTAAAGAAGTGGGGCAGAAACTGGCAGGGGATGTGGAGTAAGAAGAAAGTTTTTTGTTTTGTTTTTTTTAACATGAGTAAATGACAGCATGTTTGCAACCTGGTAGATAGAAATGATTCATTAAAGTGGGAAACATTTTTGTTGCAGAAGAGAAAAAGGGAGAAATGATGAAACGGTGTTTCTAAAGCTACAAGAGGGGATGAGACGTGTGCATGTGAAGGGGCTGGCTCTAGACAGGACCATGGAGAGTCCATTCAAAGTAAAGAGGGGTGTATGGTTAGCTTTTGTGGCATAACAAACCATCCCAAAACTTAGTGGCTTAGCGGGATGGTTGGTTCTTACGTGGGCTGTCTTGACTGATCTTTCCTGGGCTTGCTGTGGTCAGCTGGTGGATTGGCTAGAAGTTGGATGATCTCAGATCATCTGATTGGCACTCATGTGCCTTTCATATATCTGGCAATTATCTGGCTGCCAACTGGGGTGCCTCTTTGTTTCCCACACGGCCTCTTGTCTGCTGAAGGCTAGCTTGAACTTGTTCACATGGTGGTCTCTGATTTCCAAGCTTAGTAAGGGAAGGCAAAACATAATGTGCAAATATTTCTGAAGCCTTCATTTGCATCACATTTTCTAATGTCCTACAGGCCAAAGTGAGTCATAAGGCCAAGCCCATATTCAAGAGTTAGAGAAATAGATTCCACCTCCTAATGGGAGAAGCTGCATAATTACATTGCAATGGGACATGAGTTCTGGGAAGGGGAGAATTTGTGGCCATCTTTGCAACTTGCTATAGGACAGAAGGCAGGGACTATGAATGCAGATGCCAACAGGTGGGTAGATGTAACTGTGGGATTCTGGGGGAAATTATCTTCTAAGTGCTTTAATTTTCTCAAAGGTAAGGTCTCATGTTGAAAGCCCATGCCAGGCTTATGTTGATTTATTCATTGATAATGAACAACAAAATTGCCAAGAGAACTAGGTCCGTATGGCAGCTTCTAGAGTCCACCTTTAGGAAAAATGTCTCCTGGAAGCCACCTAACCATGAAGTCTGGGACTCCTACAAAGGGATCTAATTGGATAACTGATGGCTGATGTCATGGAGCTTGACAGCCGGATGCACCCATTCTTGAAAAGGTCAGACTTTCCAAGTTGATTAAAATATCCTATCTGCTAGGCACCCCCTACTCTGGATAATGCTATATGGGTGCTGCGGCGCTCTGCTCTTTGACTGTTTTCTCTGTGTATCAGCCCTTTATCCACCTGCTCTCCACTACATGTGTTGCCAACGAGGGTGCAACGGCTCCTGTTCTTCCTGCTGTGGTCCTGGAGGACATTTTGACTTTTCAAACATATTTCATCCCAACATTTACCTGTTGAATCTTATTAATTTAAGATTAATAGTGTTCTGAGAGGTGTTGACACTTGAGGTTTTCTTTCTTTGAATAGATAGATTTTTTTCAGACCTCTATGTCTTCTGGACTTAGAGTGTTTCCCTATAATTTTATGAAATCTCATTTAGTGACTAAAAGCTTCTATTGGCCTGGTTTTATGATCGATGCATGACTTGATTATTTTAGTGAAATTAATTCCTCTCCTGTTTAGTATAAAAGTATTTATTTGGATGCTAATAATTCTAGAGAGAGGAAAGGAATCCAAGGTCAGCTTCATGGACTGAATGTTTGTCGCTCTACCTCCAAATTAGTGTGTTGAAGCCCTAACCACCACCACAATGATGGTATTAGGAGGTGGGAGGTAATTTGCTGAAACCCTCATGATGGTATTAGTGCCCTTATAAGAAAAGACCAGAGAGCTTTCTCTCCCCACCCCTACTGCCCCCACTTCTCTCTCTTCTGCAAGAAGGTGGCTGTCTGCAAAATAGGAAGTGGGCTCTCACCAGACACTGGAGGCTCTCACCAGCCTCTAGAACGGTAAGAAATGACCTTGGTCTTGGATTTCCCAGCCTCTAGAACTGTAAGAAATAGATTGTTATTTAAGCTACTTAGTTTATGGTATTTGTTATAGCAGGCTGAACTGGTTAAAACAGTCAGCATAGCCGAAACCGGTTTGGCTCAGTGGATAGAGCGTCGGCCTGCAGACTGAAAGGTCCCAGGTTCAATTCCAGTCAAGGGCATGTACCTGGGTTGTGGGCACATCCCCAGTAGGAGATGTGCAGGAGGCAGCTGATCGATGTTTCTCTCTCATCGATGTTTCTAACTCTCTATCTCTCTCCCTTCCTCTCTGTAAAAAATCAATAAAATATAAAAAACAAACAAACAAAAAAAACAGTCAGCATAACTTTGAGACACCTAAATGTGGCATGACCTGGCTGAGAAAGGTGAAGACACAGTTTTGGTTCAGTGCCTTTAAGTGACATTTGAAATGCACTTTTGGTCGGGCTTCCTTTGCTGATTCTTGTAGTCTTGGTTCTGAATTCTTCAATGAGTAAGACTCCTAGGAGTGTCCCATGTCTGGGGT